AGTTTCTAGAGATCCTCGAGGTATACACGTTTGTAATTGCTCTCGGTTCCGTCGTACTTCATTATCACGATTCCTATTCAAAGGACACCGGGACACCCCCGAGTGCTTTCTCAATAATCTTCAATCCCTCTTTAATCTTCGTTCTCTGTTTCGTGCAAATTGATTTTGAATTTGACAAAAAACAGGTGAAGGGAATTAAACCAATTGGCGTTAGGCTCTAATTATTCTCATCCTCGGTGAGGTCGAAAGCTTTATTAAGACATTAAACGATTTCTCGAGTTGCACTTCTTACAAGTTCTCCATAAACATCCCGAAAGAAAAGAAATTAGGATAATGACAATTCTTATTTGTTTTATCAATCAGTTCTTTCCACTGAGAATCTCGAATGCGCGAAATAATTACTTTCTGTCAGTATTCTCTATTTCCGAGTAGGTTTAATTGAAGATCCGTAACGTCGATCAGTACCCTTAATCGGTCTGTAACAATCCCGATTCTAATTCTATTGCTCCATCCACCTCCAGGGAAACAGTGGAACTCGTTAACGCTTCCGATTCAGAGTTTCGCGTCGCCTACGAGTTCCTGTCATCAGGTTCGAACAGCCACGATTTCCGTGCACGTATTAACCCCGACCAGAATGTCTTTCACGAGCCTGAAATCACTATTACGCTACTATTGTCCCATTTATGTCCGATCATCGACAATAGCTTTGACCTAAAGCTTGATTAAATTTGTCACGTCACGACATTAGAAATGAATATCGATCAGTTGAATTATGTTCGTTAAAAATGTTTTCCATTATTAAAAAAAATATGGAGTACCAACGAATTTGAATTTCTCGTGAGCACATTTTTTGACATGATTTTATTTATGAATTATAGAATTTTTAAATCCCCAGTGGACGAACAGACTCTCTTATAATTAACTTTACACTTGCAATGGTTTTTGCGCCCGAGGAGCGACTACTTTTTGCGACAGATTTTTTGCCAGCTCGCGCGCAGAGGGTGGAAATTACGATCTCGTTTTAAGAGATTAAAGCGTAACGTAAATGAAACGCGAGTTCATTACGTGTATCGTCCTTAATCACATCGCCTAATGAGGCCTGCGTTACTAGGCGTTTTCTTGAACGAGTACGCGACTTCGGGCGCCAGTCACGTTGCCTCCACCGCGATATCGGACGTTGTTCCTGACAGGCTAGATCGATTCGGCAGGTGCACAGAGGATAGATGTTTTAGTGAAACCTTGCAGCTGAATGTGTACAAGATAAGGGCTGATAAGATCCCCGAGTCCAAATACATTTGCTGCCCTTGCGTTCGTTTCAGTGTTGCACTTTCATCGAATGCATGTAATATAATTTGCAAGTAATATATTGATCAAAACTGATTATGTAACGATAAGAGATTCAACAGAAATGTCATGCTTCCCTCTTGTTTCACATTGATCAAAGTTTATAAAAACAAGAGGTGGAAGAGGAATGAGGACGGAATCGAGTTATTTGAGAATGAATTCGAAAACATTTCCGTTTATACCCGTCCGTTTCGCTTCGACCGGTCAAAACATTTTGAGAAATGAAATTCTCGCCCGGGAAACGATATTTCACGCGCCACGCTCCGATAACGTCTCCATAAATCCTCCAGGGGTAATCGATGATACGTCGCCACTTACGTTCACTATCAAGAACGATCGACTTTATTCAAAACTGGACCCGTAAATCCGATCAGTGTACACGGTAATGCACTACCCCCCGAGAGATTTATGAAATTCAAGCCATTCTCCCTTGGACTGGGAATTGTTCTTAAGTTCACCTTTATCATTCGTATTAACCCCAAGAATATTATAATTTAATTATGCATCTCCCTTGAAACGACACCTAAAAATTGTACTTATTTTTCCTGCATTATAAATCTCCTTAAGAAATAGTATAAAAACACTGAGTCAGCATTTATTATTAAAATACGTCACGATTGTTGCCATGACTTATTGACGTGAAAAATGTGAGAATGATCAAGGCAGATGTAATTGAACTTCGCCGAGCTATTCGACTCGTCCTGTCATAACGATTCTAAGTCGGAGGAAATATCCTTATAAAATATGGTCGTCAGTTTAAGTGCAGAAAAACAGAGAAACCGTTGGGTGGGAAGGTGGCTGCAAATACGTCCTCGAGGGGATTATTATTGTAGTTGTAACCGGGCTTACCCCGCTTTGCTTCGCAGGTAGGCGAGGGTTTATTGTTCCAAGGATATTCAGTGGCCAGCGAGGAGCCCGAAGATGGAGGGTAGCGGGACAGGAATTAGCAGGCTTGACTGCTATGAAGACATGTTTAAGGAAATAACCAGAAAATTGTACGGCGAAGATCCTGATCATAGAAGTAAGCATCTAGTATTTTTAGTTTTTTAGAACAGTATTTTTTGGACAATTTCTATTCGACTGATATTCTCTCTTAATGGAAATTAACATTTATCATTCCATTTAATCGTTGCAGCTTCGAGTGTTCAAAATGAGTTCGAAACGTCTGTATCATATAAGAATGAGGAGGATACGGGGAATGGAACTGATGGCAGCGACGACGGGAATTGGACGTGCGAAGAAGAGCCATTAAAAGGAACCGATGGAAGTCGGATCGCTGCTTATCACGCTGGAAAAGCAACGTGGAGGTGCTACGAATGTGGTGCGTATCTAATATAAATTCAATAAGATTATTCAATTGAAATAAATATTAAATCAAGGAAACTAGATATTCAATTTACAAACGTTTACCAAGTTAGTTTGGATTATCGTTCACGATTAATCTTACTCATCGTTTCGTTTGACTTTCTCTTTGCGTAAACATATTGTCTGAGTAATTATTTCAACAACAAAGATAAGTATCTATGGGACGCCTGAGGGTATAAATAGAGGAACGCGTACCAAAATAACGGGTCAGGAGGGCACGAAAAACGGCACGAGACCGTAAATTGTCACGGAATTGAAGTAGTAAACAATACGAAACTACGCCACGTCTCTCCCAATGAGACTCCTTTTCGAACAAAAGAGAGTTTTATTACCCCGGGCCGCGTTTCCCCGACAATTTCCCAACGTTACCTTCCATCGAGTCGGCTTAAGGACTCCCGCAAATGCTATGTCTACCTCATGTAATGTCGCGCGAAGTAATCCCCGTTTGGCCCACCCACCCCCACCAGTTTCTTCGTTTACCTGCTTTGTCTCTGACCTCCGAATCTCTTCACTAGTTGCTTGTTAGTCAGTAGGCGTTCGAGTGCTCTTGGCCATGTTCGACGACTGAGACGTTTTCAACATGTTCCTCAGTTAGGAAAAAACAGATAGTGATGTAAACGGTGAGCGACTGTGTGACTGACAAATGTGGATCATCTTAGAGTCGTTACGTAGCACAGATTCATTGATCATTCTATGTGAAAAGTGTTAACTAATATTTGTTTCATAAAATACACGACTGTACAGAGTTTTCATGAAGTGATTCGACCGGCCGGAGAGACGATTGATGTTAATAGTGTTATCGTTCGATAGGTGATGTTATGGGTGGAGGACCACGCGACGTAGCCGAGCATTTCATGGAACTCCATTCGTCCAGGATTCTCGCAGACGATAGCAGGAACAGGCATCATTCTCCTAGGAAGGACTACATGCAAGCGGAGCTCAAGGTAGAAGACGTGATATCATACCTGGAGAGGCTACGGGAAAGAGCGGAACGAGTAGCACCGCCATCCAGAAGGACGCAGGAAACGCAAACGGTACCGGCTGCTCTTTTACCTGTCACTTCGCCCTTCCTGCTTCAGGAGCTACCATCTGCCCCCGCACCACAGCATTTGCATCAGGTATTTTTTTCTTTTTTTATTTACACCTCTACAATTTTTATCCTCTATGATTAATTGTTTGACTCGTTCGAATTTTACAATTTTTCTAAATATAAATAACGTTTTAATTTTACAGGCAACCACAACGATGCAGGCGTCAGCGACGGTGTCGGCGAGCAGTAAACGTTACACCTGCCCGTACTGCCCCTATGGGACCGATCGCCGTGACCTATACACTCGACACGAGAATATCCATCGCGAGGAGAAACCGTTTCATTGTTACATCTGCTACAAACCGTTTAATCGTGCCGATCATGTGAAGAAACACTTCTTGCGGATGCACCGTGATCACGGCTACGAATTATCGAGGATACGCAGACCGGTGGGATCTTCGAACACGCTGAAACAGGAACCGGGAAACGCTGCGAATACCGCGAGCGCGAGTGTAAACGGTCAACAGCAACAACAGCAACAACAACAACAGCAGCAGCAACAGCCTCAACCACAGCCACACGCTAATTACACCACCGCATTTAACAATAACAAGAGTTATCAGTTGCAGCCAAATCCTGGTAATAATACAGCTACAAACGCGACTAGTATCTATCAAAATGCATCGATGCCGGCACCTGGGATCATGCAGCCGGACGCGGTGAATTGTGCTACCGGAAGAAGAGTGCAAAACGGGGGGTGCAACAGTAAGAGTCATTTGAAGGGTGGATCTAAAGGAGCTCAGGAACGACGGTGAGGCTTCCGCATTCTTTATTCTCATACTATGTATTACAAAATTGTGAATAGAATAAAATGTATTTATTTAACATTAAAAATATGAAATTATTAAGATTTATTATTATAAAACTCGATTATTCCACAGGTACACATGCTGTTATTGTTCGTGGAGCGGCGTGGATAATTGGTGCCTAAAACGACACTTGAACACGCACTTGAAACCGTTCGCATGCACCCTCTGCGAGTATAAGGCCGCACGAGCCGAACGTCTGGCCACCCATGTCCTCAAAGTTCACAATCGACGCCAATGTTCGAGATGCTCCTTCCTCGGCGAGGATGCAGGACAACTGCAGGTGCATCAGTTGCACGTACATCGAGTTAGCAGTGGGAATGCACCAGCGACATCCACGGTACCGACTGTACCGCCTCCAAATAATCGTCACCAGCAACCTTTGCAGTAAGAATATAATCATTTTATTTATTGTCGTGGTCTGTACACATAGACAAATATCTCTGAAATTCCATATATTGATATAGTTATGTTATAAAGTATTAAGAATGAATACCCTCGATCATGTAGATGATGTAGGTCTCAAAATCTATAATAATGTATACAAAATTCTCGTAGCAATTTAAATTTATTTACATTGAAAAAGATCTTTTAACAATATTTTATTCACATTTAATTTGATCAGTTTTCAACATACTCATTAATCATTTGTTTGCACTTCTACTGGTGCTACCAGTTAAGTCAAAATCAAATCGGGACCTCGGCTACTGTATACCATGGCGCGTGTTTAGTTTGCTGGTTTCGCCGGAACCCAGGGAAATTCATTAAAACGGTTTAATTGGAAGTCGATCGTTGCGGCCGACTAATCCGCCCTCGCTCCTCGCTGTGTCTCTCGTTACTTTTTCCGGTCGACGCCAGCAAACAGCGTGTAACGAGCGGTCGCGCGGCCGGATTTAAGCTTTAATCACGATCGTCCGATGCTTCTCTTGCTCGTTAGCCGTCTTTAAACAGAATTATATCGACGATTCAGCTCTCGTCGTTTTCGGAGATCCTCGTGAATTACTGCTCGACTGAAAACAAACCTTGTTTACTGATTCTTGGTAGCCTCGGCTAGAACACAATACTTTTCTTGATTTGTACATTCTCAACATTCATCACTTTCTCTTAAGGATATTTTCTCTATACATTCAATGCCAAAAGTTTATGCACTTTAGAAACGCATTTTTTAAAAAGAA